GCAGGAATTAAGCAGAGCAGTGAAAGACAGAGGGTCTTGGAGATGTCTTCATCCATAGGGCCACCATGAGTTGAGATCGACTCGAGGGCAGTTAACAACAAAATAAGATTCACTTTAGCAACACCTCTCTTTTTTGTTTAGTTCACCCAAAGGGTCACTTTGGTGCTAAGCAGCCTGTCTTATTAGCAATTGCATGGGCTGACTCTGGTATAATGGTGACAGTTCAGGAAATACTTCCCCCACCATTTCTGGAAGGGAAAGGAGCAGTTTTTGATAGCTGAGTGTGATTTCAGCTAATAGCAAATCAAAGAGAACTGCTGAAAGTAAGCTAATTCTGTAATGGGGTTGTCTTATGTTATCATTTATGTTTCCCTGTTGCAGTAAGAGTATTTTAATAATCTACATATCGTTTAATTATAATCCATTTACCTGACATAAGTAATTCCAATGCCCTTTAATATAACAAATCTCCAGTGTGAAGGTACTGAGTAATGAGATCTGACAGGTGGTGCTAGTTGCAATGAAGCCCTGCCTCCCTTCCACTGTTGTAGGGACTGTAAACAAAACAAACCAAGGTTTAATATGCAAGGACACTGTGATAAGAACTGGCAGAATGTTACCAGTTAGTCTGTAAGAATCTCCATTTGAATAATGCTCTATTCCTGGCAAGGAATGCATTCATCTATCAAGTCTACAGCCATAGATTTCCTTCTTTCCTCACTTCCACATGTGGTCCATGCCTGCTTCTCTCTGTGTGTTTGACAAGAGCCTAGTGTGGTGTAGTGGTTTGAGCATTGGATCATGGGTGTGTCCACACTGCAGAATTAAAGCAATGTGACACCACTTTAACTGCCATGACTCTGCCTTACAGAATCCTGGGATTTGTAGTTTGGTGAGGCACTAGAGCTCTTTGACACACCAGGCTGAATACCGCATCAAACTACAAATCTCAGGATTGGGCAGAATCATGGTAGTTAAACTGATGTCAAACTGCTTAAATTCTGCAGTGGGGTACCTCTTCAGACTGTGGCGACCAAGGTTTGAATCCCTGCTCAGCTGTGCAAACCAACCTTGGGCAAGTCACACTCTTTCAGCCATAGATGATGGCAAAGAAAAACTGCCTCTGAACAAACCTTGCCAAGCAAATCCCACAATAGGTTTGTGTTAGGGTTGCCATAAGCTGCAAACAACTTCAAGGCACACAGCAACAACAACACTTTTTTTAACAGGCTGAAACTCATCCTTCTGCATGTATGTTTTGCAAATCATACAAATTGTTTGCAGACGTTACCCCTACTGATGAGAATATGGATATACTTTGTTTTTGCACACATTTCAAATGCACTAATTCTTCGATGCATACATAGAAAAATGAGTATATTTTGTCAGAGCCATCCAATAATATGCAGATTCTGGTATTCAAACGTTAATCCAGCCCATATCTAGTCCAGACAACATGCATCAGAGAAACTCTGCATTAGATGTCTGTTGTTGTTGTTATTGTTTGCTTTCAAGTCATTTTGGGCATATGGTGACCCTAAGGTGAACCTCTTATGGAGTTTTCTTGGAAAGATTTGTTCAGAGTGAACAAATTGACTTTCCTTGAGGCTAAGCATGTGTGACTCACCCAAATGGGTTTCAAGGCTGGGTAGGGAATCGAACCAAGATCTCCAGAGTCGCAGTCTATCATTCAAACCACTACACTACACTGGATGTCTATCAGAGCATATTTCTCACACATCCCTTGGCTGGATGAAGACTGAGTATACAGTTCCAAGTAATGGCTGGAAGATAAACAGAATGTAAGAACTGTGATGAACCTTTTAAGTTGGTGATGCAAGGTGTATTGGCTGAGATATATTTTGCAGACTAGCAATATATATATATATATATATATATATATATTGCAGACTAGCAAAGACAAGCAAGGGGGGGGGTTGTCACTGCCTTCCTTTAAGGCTGAGAGAATATGATTTGCCCAAGGTTACTCTGTGGGTTTCCATGGTTGAGTGGGGATTCAAACTCTGGTCTCTCAGAGTCCTAGTTCAACACTCAAACCACTACACCATGCTGGCTTCTAGTATGTCATGTTTAAATTCCCTTATACTTTTTAAGGGGGACACACAGTTTGTGGCTACATAAGTAGATTTAAAAAATATAAACATTTCCAGTGCCTAAATCTAATTGTTAATCCCAACTAGAGTAGGGAAGTCTAATCAATAGGATTTTCCTACATGTTGACCCATCATTCACCTATTGATTCAATGGGTCCACTAACAGACTTTCAGGCATTCAGTTGTACATTCTTGGAAAGTGTGTGACAATTTATCCATGCATTCAGTGGACCACTCACTGGGAAGACAGAAGCATCCCATTGCACAATGGCACAATAAGCAAGCACATTGACAAATGTAGAAGTGGTGGTACAATGGCAGATGAACAAGTGGTTGTATTCAGCAGAAAGGTGGTGTAATGAAATCACTGTTAACCACATGAGTGTAGATTTATATGACACAAGGTCTCACTTATAAAAACTGTGTGAGCTGCCTTAGGTCCAATTTAAGAGAAAGGCAGCATAATCAATCAATCAATGAATCAGTCCCAAAGTCACTAATTATAAATAAATGGAATACAGTCATCCCTCCATTTCCATAGGTTTTTTATCCACAGATTCAAGCATCCATGGCTTGAAAATATTTTTAAAATATATAAATTCCCAAAAGCAAATACTGATTTTGCCATTTTATATAAGGCACACCATTTTACTATGTCATTGTATTTAATGGGACTTGAGCATCCACGGATTTTGTTATCCACGGAGGGGTCCTGGAACTAAACCCCAGTGGATACCAAGGGTCAACTGTACATAAAAGAAGAAGTGTTATGTATGCATGTCTGAACTGGATCATGATGACTAGTTACCAAGGGCTGGTTACCTGTCAGGGAACCATGTAGCTGATCTTAAACATCTGTTACCTGGGAGTAGCTGAACAAAGTATATAACTCTTTTGCTGTTCAACTCTAATTGGCTACTGATTTGTTTCTGTCTCAATTCAAGGTGCTGGTTCTTACCTTTAAAACCCTGCCTTCCTTCCTCTCTATGTTCCTCCATATGTACTCATTCAACATCAAAGATGTTGAACCCCAGGTGTCATAATTTAATGCTCTTGTTCCCCAGCTGACTGAATATTAGTGAGTAAAATGGCAGGGTTGCACTTCTGATCCTTGGCATGGTTTTTGCCCTATAAAACAATTCATTATACTGTTTTAAGCACACTTTCTGTGACTCTGTGCTACTGTCTAGAAGAGATTTTTTAAACATTTTTTTCCACAAAACCATATGTTTTAAACCCAAGCCAGGAATTATCAGATTTTGTTGAGACTGACAATTTTGCCATCATGAAAAACAAAATTCTGTCCATCATGAGTACATACTTTTTATATATTTTTAAAGGCTCTGGAATGTTACTGTTATTGCAACAAGGCCAGGGGAAATAGCTGGCTACCAATGATAGGTTTATATCATTTTGTATGTATGTATGTGTGTACACCTCTTCACTTTCCCCGTTTTTCAATAAAGGTGCTAAAATAGTTCCTTTTTGAAAACCTATTTGAATGCTACAAGCTATTGACTTCTGGTAGAAAATGTAAGACAAATGTAGAGCAGATCAAATCAGAAACATCCCTGGAAGCCAAGATGACCAAACTGAGGCTGTCATACTTTGGACACATCATGAGAAGAGAGGACTCTTTGGAAAAAACAACAATGCTGGGGAAGGTGGAGGGAAGTAGGAAGAGAGGAAAGCCACATGCCAGATGGATGGACTCTATTAAGGAGGTCACAGGTATTAAGGGGTTGCAGGAATTAAGCAGAGAAGTGGAGGACAGAGGGTCTTGGAGATGTCTCACCCATAGAGTGCCATGGGTTGAGATCGACTTGAGGACAGTTAACAACAACAACAAAGGGTGTATCTACACTATAGAAATCGTGTGGTTTGACACAATTTAAATGTAGTTCTATCATTTGGAAAGCTGGGATTTGTAGATTTACATGGTCATTAACTTTCTCTGCCAAATAGTGCTGGTGCCTCACAACACTACAAATCCCATGATTCTGTGGAATGGGGCCATGGCAGTTAAAGTGGTGTCAAACTTTATTAAGTCTACCATGCAAATGCATCCTAAGTCTGTTGCATTATTTGTAAGGCTGTCCAGCACTGCCAATGGATGACAGGAAAAGTTAAGAGGAAAAGCTGTTACCTTGCAGCAGTCTATTCCTGCTACAAAGTCCAGGTTTCATCTGTGCCATGGGGCAGGCTGTTTTTCAAGCCAGTTTTCCTAAGGAATCTTGGTTTCAATGACCCATCCAGAAACCAGGCATTGCAGAAATGGGCTGCTGGGACATGGCAGATTATACAAGGAATTTTTCCAACTTTCCTCATGGCCACCATACCTGTTGCTTTTTCCACCTGGCACTACATCATAAATTACCTCCACCCATAAGTATGCCAGTATTGTGCATCAACAGGTTCTCAGTCATACTGTCCTTATATCTATATCACTGTCACTTCAACACCCACCCCACAACATAAGATAACAGCACAAAGAAAAACAAAATAGGACTTGAACCAGTCCTGCTCTAACATTTAGTGACAGCATAGTGCAGTAATTATTACAAGTTACAGTTATATCACAAAAAGACTGAAATTATCCCTTAATTTACCAACAGAAAGTATGCATTGATATCGTCATTACTAGAAAAAGGAATTAATTACAAGTAATTTATTATTTGTACCTAGTTACATCCAGGGTCTGAGCATCCCCAGACTGTATGAGCTATTGACATTATAAACAGGTGTTCGTCCTAAAAACTAGGTTTTCTCTTATACCACTGAGAACATTGATTCTGGCTCCTTTAAAACAATATCACAGCCATTCTGGGTATTTGGGGGTGGGGAAACCATTATTGAGCAAATAAACTAGATGGTTTTAAAGGTTTCTCCAGAACTCCAATAGATGACTAGAATAGTGGTACTCAGACTTTTTACCCTTGGGATCCCCCATTTACATCAAATGTAGATATTGTGCTCCCCTCAATGTAGTATATGAACAAAAATATTTTGTTTAGTTAATGTGTGCATTTTCATCCTCACATTCATGTATACTGGGGTCTGGTTCCAGACTTTCCGTGGATACCAAAATCCGTGGATGCTCAAGTCTCATTAAATACAATAGCATAGTAAAATTGTGTCCCATATATAAAATGGCAAAATCAAGGTTTGCTTTTTGGAATTCATATTTTTTGGAATATTTTCAAGCCGTGGATGGTTGAATCCATGAATATGGTAGGCCGACTGTATTCATATTTCAACATTTTATAAGGAAGTAACATCATTCAAATTAGAACAGTTTTATTTAAATAAATTCATTATTTAACTCAATGCATGTGTAAATTTTGCACATTAAAAAGTTTGGGAAGGAAGAAGGAAGATCAGAGCATCCAAGTCTTGTGCCCCCCTTAAGCAATTCTTGCACCTCCGGGTGTGTGTGTGTGTGTCCCATCCCACCATTTGAGATTCACTAGGTGAGACTTTGAAATTAAGAGGCATTCTCCATGCTGGTTTATGTACTGCATGGGAGTCTGGGAAAGCTATATTGAGCTGGAAGTGTGAGAAGGGAGACCTATCCAAATGCAGAGTAATTACACACTGCAATTGGGAACAGAGACTAAAAGATCATGATTTCCCCAAGGCCATGCATGGTTTAGCTTAGTTTTGTCAAGAGTACACTTGCTGAATTTCAAATTTACTTATATTTCAGCTTAATTTAGGCAAGCCACCAGAGCAGCTGTTAGATCGCAATGAACCCTAGAGATTTCAGAAGAACAGAAAGCACCAGTATGGCATGTGATTGTAATCTCTTGCTAGGCATACATGAGCAAGACTGAAAACAAGAGAGAAACTGAGAGGACTATGTATCACCAAGAGAAGCTGCCAGCACTATAAACAGGATTTCCTTGTCAGGCTCTCCTTCTGATGGCATTGAGTAAAGGTAATGTCAAGGAAAAAGCAACATGGGACATACAGTAATAGAAAT